TATAGAAAAAGAAAATAATAAATATAATAGAAAAGGAAACAGAAATTATTAAGTGAACGCTTATAAAAAAATTACACACCTGAATTAACAGTAAAATGCGGTAATATCTGTTGAATTGTTCAATTAAATGGCGAACAACGAATTCTTTACAATCTGTTTTAATGAATCAATTGATTGCAGCACCGCTGCCGCAATTATTATTGCAGAAGATTAAAAAAAGACAGTGTATATAGCAAAATAATTGGTTAGATTTATTATTTATTTTGTAATAAAAAAATTTTAAATGAACTCAAACGAAAAGGGAATGAAAAAAGCAACAAAAAAACCGAAACAGTGAAAGTGATCAGCCAACAACGGTATAATATGGGAAAAAACTCTAACATATTATATAGAAATATTGTAGATATGTAAAATATATATTCATAAGTATATGTATATGTGCTAGTCTTTCACTAGTGTCATCAGCTATTGCAGCTGAATACAAAAAATTAGCTGTCCAAACAGAAATGTGACGTGAAATGAGCAAAAACAGAATAAATAATTGAGATAATTAAGAGAAAAAATTAAGCTAAAAAATAATAATATGATTACTTCATGTTTAAAAATGTAAATAACAGAAATAAATCTGAGCTTTTCAACAAAATGAAAGAATAAGATAACAAAAAAAAAAATTATAAATAAATTGTTTGAATCTTCAAAGGGTTGGCAAAAGGTGCGCTGTTGCATAAGCCAAATTAAAAACGTGATTAAAAATAGCTAATGTGCGATTCAAAGAAAAAAGCAGTAAAAAACATTTAAGCTGCTGCTTGCTTCATATCCTCCATAAAATAAGAAAAAATTTTAAACAATAAAAAAAAAATTAAGAGACCGTTAATACAAAAAGAAAAAAAAAAATAAATAAAACACTAACACTGGTAACAGAGCTGCTTGTCTACAAATTGATGGCTATTGTTGTAATCATGGTGTGTAATTAACTGTCACCTTTGAACATGTTCATCAAAAATAACAACAGCAACACCTCATAGCATATTGCAGCTCTATTATGATTTGACATGCTGGTGCAACACGCAGATAGCTGTTGTAGAAATTTGAAAAAATAATTGAAAGCAAATTATAAAATGATGAGCGGATAGACGATTGCGGTACGTCAATGCAGCGTCAAATGAGTACAATTAAGCGTATAGGGACTGACAAAGCGAGCACACAACTGGTATAAATTAAAAAAAACTGGTTTAATTATTGTTAGCGATGTAGAGAATTAGCGTTAGTTGTGTACAATTAAGTAATATAGAAAAATGTTAAACCAACACACAACTGGCAAAAATCATATAAACTGGTATAAATATATTTAGCTGCGCGGACAGGTAGCTCTAGGTGAGTAAAATTAATTAAAATCGGAAAATGTCAATCGAACACGAAACTGGTATAAATATAAATAGTTAGCGGCACTTACAGGCTGCGCTTGTTTAGTACAATTGAACACTATAGGAAATTGTGAAATGAACAAACAAGTAGAAGCAAAGAAGTGGCATTAGTTGAGTACAGTTAAGCAATATAGTGAGTTTAAGCAGTATAGCAATGTGAAACGACCAAAAACTGGCATAAATCATAAAAACTGGTGCAGATATAATTAGCTGAGCGAAGAGGTAGCTTTAGGTGAGTAATATAGGAAAATGTCAATCAAACACGAAACTGGTATAAATATATATGATAATGCGAAATGGACAGACAACTGGTATAAATCATAAAAACTGATATAAACTTAGCGACACGGACATGTAGCGCTAATTTAGTACAGTTGGTTAACGTTCTTTCTTGTTTTGTTTTTTTTTCTTTTGTTTTTTTTTTTCAATGTAAGATGAGACCATTTTAAGTTATCGAAACAGATCAAGAAATAAACTTAGCTGAAGACAGTTTAGATCTTGTGTTAGGATTCTTTGACTATATATGTCGACATATAAATGTCAAGGCAGTGATCTATGCTGATGAACGAGCGCCGCTTGCCTCGTTGGTAGCCAACATTCGGCATTCTTTTGACCGGATGAGGTTTAATATATTGGAGAATGTATTATGAATTTAGATCACCCACAAAATGCTATGCTATATATGTATATATGAAATTTTTCTTAAATACTTATATTTATAGATCTAATCTAACTAATAAAGTCAAATTAAACGAAGAGTCATGGCCCCAATTTTTTCTAACAGCCCACCTGTTATTAAGTAATTAAATTTTATATTTCTAACTGTTGTCATAAAACAGTTGAATTCACACTTCAGTTAATCGGCATGTAGTTCATAGATCTGTATGTTCTTGTTGTGCATACGCATTTATACACATATTATATAATGTATGTATGTCAGCTATAAATTTAGTGTCACGCCTGACTGTTCCCTACACCTGAAAACCGTTAAACAAGATTAATGAAAACTCGGTTGACTCGGCACTTCAGCGTAGAGGGACTAAACATATACCTAAAAAATATATATATCTGTAATTTCCATGAAAAAATAACCCACTATGTTTAATGTTCTATGCAGAGGCAATCAATTGCGCAATACCGTTAGCTCATTTAGTACACTCGAGGGCACGTGCTATCTTTACACCTGACAAAGCAGCAGCGAATAGCGATATTGCGGCACTTTTTTCAATGAATTCTTTAGTTAAATGCCCTTTTTAACGGTGGCTGATTTGGAAATTAAAAAAATTACAATTCCAAATTAAAATATGATTTACTCCCCAAAACCTGTGCGCGATTAATTGCATGTCGCTGACCTGCAGCCGCTTGCGCATGCGCGTCAACTATCAATTTATGTGACATACAGTAAAGTGTTTATCGAGACACCGGCAAAGTCACGCTTTTGAACGCGCAACACTATACATGCGCACACATTCAGACATACACATACTTTAACAAATGTACACTCTACTCAATCCACCGTACTGCAGCATGTCAGTAGTGTTTACTTCAAAATTTTAAAAGTAAATACATGCATACATATTAATAATTGAACACATCATTGTTCGAAGGTGCTGGCAGACTCGTTCATATATGCATATATTTAGGTATATATGAAATTTTAGATATATTTCTGCATATTTTGACAGTAACAGGCGCAAAGAGCGTCAGCTTAAGCATTTTGCAAATATATATATGCATATTTACACACATATTTACAAATTTTCTTGTGTAATTATTTGCTTAACTGACGAATTTTTGAGTTGCTTTTATTTATAGATATGACAGTTAAATGGCATATGCATGCGCTTATATATATGTACAAATATATATTTATTAGGCTAAATGACAAATCTCGTATAAATATGTGAAGGAGAGACACGCTTGTTCTTCGTAGAAAAATCACGCCATTGATTATGAATCGATAAGTGGCAAATATATGAATAACAAGAAAAAACGTCAGCTTCGAATACACCGCAGTTAAATACCCTTAAAAAATACAAAAGACTACTTACAAACACTTGGCTCTTAATCGGTCAGTTTGTATGGCAACTATATACTATGGTGATTCGTTGTGAACAATTTCTTTCTTCCCTCATGCCAAAGTTCGTTAAGATATCTCGTCAAATGAAAAAGCTATTAATCAAGCAATTGAGTGCGATCGTTCAGTTTGTATGGCAGCTATATGCTATAGTGGTCTGATATTGGCAGTTCCGGCAAATCAGCATCTTCTTCGAGAGGAAACGACGTGTGCAAAATTTGAGATCAAAATCTCAAAACTTGAAGCACTAGCTCGCGTATATACAGTCGAACATATAGACGGACATGATGACATGATGACTTAATCGATTTCGCTTGTCATGTTGATCATTTATGGATATACCTAGTGACCAGAAAATTTCCGAAAATTGTACATAAAACGAAAATTTTGTAGTCTTTATCTATATTTATTTTGTCGCCTTCAAAATATGCTTCTGCTTAAGCGATACACATATGCGACCGCTTTTTCCAATCATCGAAACATGCTTTGTAGGCGCTGTCCGGGATCGCCTTCAGTTCGTTCTTCGAATTTTCTTTTAGTCGAAACGGGTTCCACGGCGTGGTAACTTGAGTTTTGGAAACAAAAAAAAGTCGCATGGGGTCAAATCCGCTGAAAACGATGCTATTGAACGAGTTTTTGGTCTTAAAATCGTTGCACACGAAAGTCTTTTAGCAAAAAATTCAGCTTTTTTGGAACAAGCCGAGCACTGACACGTCTCATGCCCAACTTATCGGTCAAAATCAAAGGAGCTGCTTCACGGCTGATGTTTAGCTTACGTGCTATCCCTTTAACACTCGCATGATGATTTTCGAGCACAATTTCCTTAACTTTTTTGATGTTATCGTCAGTGGTAGATGTCGAAGGACGACAGGAACGAGGCATGTCTTCGACGGTTTCTCGACCATATTTAAAGGCTTTGTTTCAGTCTTAGGCTTGGGTTTTCAATAGAATAGATTCATCATAAGCTTTTTTTAACAAGTGCTGAAAAATATTCATTTATCATATTTATATATATACTTTATAGTGTCTCCGACGTTTCTTTCTAGGTGTTACAAGATGTTACAAACATTGTGGCAAAATTAATATACCTTGTACAGGGTTTAAAAAAGTAAAGAGCAAACTTATGGGCTTTGCTGAAAAGTTCGGCTCATTTCCAAAGAACGTAACTTTTTTTTTTGGTAAATTTCAATATTTTCTATCCAATATACGGGTATAACCATCTTCCAACTTGTCAATAAAACAGATGTATGATTTTCCGTAGCTTCAAAATAGGCTTATATTCTTATATTCGTTAAATTTCTTTCTAGTAACAGTTCTTTTTAAGTTTGAAAATAGTAAAAAAAAAGTTGCTGTGGACATGCTCAAAATATAATATACAGTGAAGTGTACGTAAATCTCGGATCAATCAAGATATTTTGCCATCGTCTTCTATGATTAGTGACTCGGTGAAAGGAAAGTGGCATGCACTTTGTAATAACTGATATTTTTCTGGAACTTACCACAAAACGACGTATAATTTGGGTCAAATCTAATCCGAAGATCTACTTGTGCCTAGTGGGAAGTTGATATTTGTCTGAAAAAAATAAAAAATAAAACAAATAATATTATGTTTTTATTTAAAATATATTTATATTGTATATAAATATGTACGTATATATTCTAAGTGAGATAAGTTATACCAAAGTACAGATCACCAAATATATAGTTGATGACGATGATTTTTTGCTGCAAAAATATTATAAGGCAATATGAGTACAAACCAACCGTGATTCGACTCTACACTGCTCGGTATCTTTAAGCTATGATGTCTTGTCAAAAACTGTAACCAACGTATTCAGTTGAACTCAGTACGACAGAGTATGTGGACATCTAATTAAAGAGGTATAGTTGCATGCTATTTTGTGTCTATTTCATTACATGTATGCTAGTTTTAATTTATACTAAATTAAGCGATTTATAAGTTTATTTTTTTCGCTTCCGTGTAAATTTTGGCGAAAAGCAAACCAATTTTATTTGATTATACCAGTACACACGATTTATGCCAGTTTATTATTTTCGATCCCTTGGAAGATTTGGCGAAAAGTAGACCGATTTAATTAAATTATACCAGTTTAAGAGATGTTGTTTTTGATTCTTTGTAAAATTTGACGAATAATAGACCGATTTAAGTTAATGATACCAGTTTCAGAAGTTTATACCAGTTTCTTCTTTTCGCTTCCTTGTAAAATTTGGCAGATAATAGACCGATTTAAATTTATTATACCAGTTTAAGAAGTTTATACCAGTTTCTTCTTTTCGCTTCCTTGTCTATTTGGCAGATAATAGACCGATTTAAATTTATTATACCAGCTTAAGAAGTTTATTCGTTATTTTAGCTTCTACAGAACATTGAACCAATATCAGTCCGATTTAATTTTATTATATCAGTTTAATCGGTGTATACCAAATGTATTTTTTTTCGATTTATGAGGCTATAGAAATGGGTTATAACTCTCATAATTTAGCTCTTTAAATAAATTAAAACTACGAATAACTAGTGCCAAAGGCTAGTTCTATCAATAATACTGCCAGCAATGCTTAAAAAGAAAAATTTAAGTAAATTTTTTGGAAACTCTGTACGATGGGAACTAAGCATATCAATACAGGCTATAGCAGCATTGAAGTGTTTCCTATAAATCTGAGCCTAAATAATTGTTAAAACTGTAGATTTCTTCAAATAAAGGCACTGATAGTGATCACTGGTATATGTATCGACCACTATGTGGTATAGAAATTATTTGCTTCATATCGTTTATGCTGAGAAATAAGTATTAGGAAGTTGAGAAGAACTTTTCTTAGGAATTCATATACTTTTTCGGAAAATTCTAATCTACTCATGGTTCAAACTATTTTTTGGTACTCTTTAAAACCCCAAAATACACGAACCAATAAAAATATGCCGATAATAACGTTTTTGTGGCAAATTATTATCATAATTTTTTCGTACTTCGCTATGGTATATTAGTTGTTGTTAAATCGCACATGTCATTATCATTACAACTGTTGTTGTAGGTATTACTTGTTTAACTTTTTGTTCGTTCGTTAGCATTGCATGGCGTGTCGCGTGGTTAGGTGTGCCGCCTAACTATATACCTACATACACATGTGTGTACGAGTATATATGTTTGCCTTTGGTGACCCACATTTCGAGTGTTATATTTATGTGTGTATGTATTTATAACATTTTTAGATACACATACGCACACATATCTGCACAAATTTGTATCATGCATGTGATGCTGATGTTAGGCGACACTCTACATACACACGTACACACGTACATACATTAATAATATGTGGTTTAATCATTAAATTCTTGTTGGTAACTTGTTGCACACTCTCATCTATATTGTGCCGCGACATGGCGAGCGTCGACGGCCTGAAATGCAGGTATGTAAGCCATAAAGTATCGAGCTTGTATGTGCATGTAAGTGCGTGTATGTTTGTGTGTGCGTGTTTGTCATATCAATTCATTTGGTTGTTTTTTTTTTTGTTTTTTTTTTGTTTGCCATGCATTATGCCGATTCGCGTGCACAAAGTTGATTGAACTTTTAAGTTTGCTGACAGTTTTCACACTTTGCACGCAAACGGCTTACGCCGGCGCCGACTGTACGCCCCCATTGTTAGTGTTGTTGTGCAGGCAAAAAATAAATTTAAGTGCTACATACCTATGTGGTGCAGTGCGCTGTACTTTGGTTAAGGCTGACTGACGGATTAGCAGCGGCGCACCAATTTGCCAGCGTGTACATACTTTTCTGAGTGACTGTAGCGAATGCAATTCGTTTTCAGGCGGGGCTTGCAATAAATTCACATTTTTTATTTATGATTAATGCAATATTTGCACAAATTGTGTAGAATAATGGCATACTTTTCGAAGTCTTTTTTTTTTTTTGTTTAAATAGATGTATATTTTTTCCCCTAAGCTGATCGACAAAAGCGAATTTTCCACAGAAATACTTAGAGTATACACATTTACATACAACATTTTGGAAGCAGCCCGCATAAAATTATATTATATATTATAACTTGCAACCATAAACAGGTATTTAAATAATATTGAAAAAAAGGCTTTAAGTAAAAAACAAGTTTCGAAATTAAAAAAAATGTTTGTTTATTAAAAAATATTTCGGAATAATTTTTTTTTTTCGGAATAGATTTTTTCATCTAATAGATTATTTTTCCTTTGAGAAATTTCTCAACAATTAATTTTGGAATCTTTCGGAGTAACAAAAAGTTAACTAATCTCCAAAATAAATAAATAAATAATAGTTTTTTGAGTAATCTACTTATGTAGGTATAAACAATAAACTTTATACTTAATTGTGTATGTGTGACATCGACGATTTTGGGAGTACATTGAATTTTTGGAGAAAAGCAATATTTTAGGTGTAAAAAGCATTGTTATTCGGCATAAAATTAAAATATAGCTAAAAAAAATTTTCGGAGTAAATTACATTTTCGGAGTAATACTTATTATTGTTTTTAAACCTACTTTTGATTTTTCGGAGTTAAAAATAAAGGAGTAAAGTAAAAATTTATCAATGAAAACGTTTCGGAGTACATTTAATTTTCGGAGTAAATTAAATTTTCGGAGTAATAATTATTATCGTTTTTGTATACTTATTTTTGCTATGAAATTATACATGAACATCGACTTTTAAAAGCTTTACATATGAAGTACATTTTTCGGATTCGTGGACTCAGGCAGATCAGTATATGTACATATACAAGTATGTTATAATAGTAAAAATAGTTACCGCTTAGTAAAAGCTGGCTTATTCACTTAACCTCCATTTACTAAATCTGCAAAAATTCGATATGAATTCTACACTTCTGCTCTACGCAAAAGAAGCGTAATTATACAATTCCGAATGATTACAAACCGATTTGACTTAATTACAGAATAACAATTTGTAAACTGCAAAAAGAGTTATGAGAAAATAAATTCTCATAGCTTCACATTATTTACACTTAGCAGCTCATACTTCAAGAAAGAACATTTCATCTAGCCGTGCTGGTCTGTTGTTGCTATTGTTGCTGTGGTTAGATGACAAACAAAAAAGGAGCCTTTCTAAACGCCACAATTACGTCGTTAACGACACACTAATGGACACTTCGACTGTAACTACATTTATGTCAAGCGCTGAGCATTAAACACGCACACACTCATACACATATACATACATACATACATACAGACATATATCGATCTTACGTTGGCCATAAACAGTCCATTCCTGGCTTCTGCCTCCAAGCACGCTCTGACGCAACAAAAGCCATTCCACTTCAACGGCAAACGCGCGTTTAGCTATTAAATGGCTTTTTGTTAAAAAATCAAACACATACACACACACACAGTCATATGCCTACACACACTAGCAAACTCATGTTCTCATGACGGAATATTAATGCTTGGTCAGCGCTGTCATTTGGAGATGCGACCGCAATGATAGCACGAAATGTCACAACCATAATGTTGGTCACAGGGTCCGAAAGCGCAATTTAATGATATTAATAGCTGCCCCATAGAAGCGAAGGAAAATCGACCGGGCAATCAGCAGCAAATACAGTTTGCGTTGTTTGTATAATTTTAATGGCGCAATGCCTAACTTTCCTAAGCACGCAGCAAATGGAAATTAATTAGGAAAACAGAAATGAAATTACAAATTGCTACAAGAAGTTTTTTAACCTCGCTTTTGAGCTTATAGATATATGAAAGTATGCAAAAATAGAAATACACAAACAAAGCTAGACAGAAGAAACGAGGCGCAGAAGACAGTAAATAGTAAAATTGAGATTGAAATTTCGACGAGCATGATCAAATGATATTTCGGTACTAAAGATCGGGATAGGAACCAAGTGGATGCTAATCGGACAGATGAAACGCCAAAATGTGATGCCAAAACTTCTCAGTATGGACCAGATGACGCTCATGCAACGATAAAGCGCTTTGAACCCTTCATAAATTTGTTGACGCAGCTTATACCGATTTTAAAACAACTTATCCGGGTATGACAACCAAAAATTTTTCGACCTCAGTTTAATGAAACAGGAAAGCTGAAAAACAAGTACCGATTTGTATACAACTACGCCTTCAACTTTGACAAATGGTACCACAGATATATAATAGATAGATCTAACTCTGTGATCACCACACCATAGAACCATGGTTTGATGTATTTAGAACTTCTAGATCACCCTGTAACTGTTTAAAAGTTAATGAAATGGGTTAATGAAGATCCCTTTCCAGATGGGAAATATAAACTGGTTGTTTCACAGTTCACATTTCCAGTTTTATAAAAACTTGACGAGTCTTAAAAAGATGATATGAAAAATCATACCTTTTTTGCAAAATATTAGGAACGATGACGTGGCGATCCGAGTCGACTTAGCCATATCCGTCTGTCTATTCGTCTTTCCGTTTATCTGTATATACGCAAACTAGGCTTTCAGTTCTAAGATTGATCTGAAATTTTGCACATGCTCTTTTCTCTCCAAGAAGCGATTCATTTCTCGGAACCGCCGATATCGGAC